TGTTTTTGTTCTTCTTCTTCTTGGGTGCAAGCTCAGTCTCTTCCTTCTCATTCCTTTCTTTGTTCTTCTTCTTGGGTGGTGCAGTCTCAGGCTCTTCCTTCTCGTCGTCTTCTTTGGGTTTCCTACCTCTTGGCTTCTGTTGGGTTTTCTCTTCCACAACAGTGTTGAGTGCAGTGTGCAATTGACGCTTTAATGTGCTCCGTGCTTCGGGATCCAGTGGTTTGTGGGAACTACCAGTAGTGCTTGCAGCCTTTGCTCTCAAAGGCAAATGGGGCTGTGGTGGGTGCACCGGTTTGGAAACAGAACCTCCAGTCTTGCCGCCACTGGCTGGAAAAGGGCTTCTGATAGGCACCTCAGTTTTGTCCATTGTAACTATCGTCTCTATAATATAGTTTCTCTAGTAGTTTCTCTAAGGGGTTATGCAATATGTTCTGAGGCTCTTTTTGTGTGTCTGTTGATTTTAGGTGAAGGCTTTTCTGAGGAGCACACAGCAGGAGGTGTTTCCAATGCTCCGGGACTGTCATCTAGCATTGAATTCAAATCCTGCAGCATGGCCAATGGGTCAGGTGATAAACAAACGAAACTGGCAGCAACTAACCACAGTGTTTTGCCCCATCATTGATCCCACAACAATCCATAAGCTTTTGGTTGAGTCCTGCTTGAACCCATGTAAAGCAAGCACATCGGTCAGCGAAAGCATTTGGTTTGCCTCCATCCTTTTGATAGAGACCTTGACTGAACCTATAGCCAACCCAACTGTAAAACGGCTGAGGCAGAGAAGCATGGAGAACGAGTTCATGCAAAGGACGACCGGGCGAGCGGTGAGCGGTGAGAGTGGCATGTCACGGCGGAAACCACAGCAGACTCGCATTCCATGTTGGCTACCTTCTCCGCTTTCAGCCAAGCGGACTTCCCATGGCCAATGATGAACTCCTTGCAATCAATATCTATGTCTTGGTGAGCCACCTGGGCAAAAAAGATAAACAACAGTTGGCAGAGTAATCACAGCCAAACCACCCCAATAAAACAGCCAATGTGAGTAGCAGCTCTCAAGAACTGCTCAATATTGTTCACTGTTTTGTTGACTAGGGACAAGAAAGAGCTTGAACTTCTGGGTTTCGATCATGGCCACCGACTCCCCTTAACGACGGGTTGCCACCATGAAGTACCAGGAAGTTCCTGGGTGCCGCCCTGAAAAACGAGCTTCCACGACGTAAGTGTCCAGCAAGCCTTGCACCTCCTGTGGCTCGCAGGACCACGCGCTGGAAAAGTTCTTCATGATCATCAGGCTCAGCTGGAACAATGGCTCTCTCAGGAACTGCAGTAATTTTGGCACCAAACCTCAAAGGATGCTAGTTTCAATAGGATGGGGCGCAAGTTGATGATTGTGCACAGATCTATGCTGTTTTCCAGCCACTTTGTGGGTGTATTGGGTGTATGATTTGGGTAAAGCAACATATTTATAAGCTTTCATGTGAGTTAAACTTGGCGAGAAGCTTGCGGTCGAACTCTTGGACGAGTCCTTTCCATTGTTCGCAGTGAACTGGATCCCCTAGGTGACGTTGTCGCACCTTGTTGCTGAGGGAAATGTTGAATTGGCTCCATCCTTTCTTGTTGTTGTCCACCGTCACAGTCGCTAGCTTGAACGTGAATTTCTCAGCGTCTACCTCTTCTACTGGCGGTGGGGAAGGGTCATAGCGCCGCACGTCCCCGAGAACATCCGATCCTTGTTTCCACTCCTGCTAGGGTTCTACCTTTGCGACTAGACTGCCCATACTCCTATTAAAGTTTAAGTCATGAGACCATATCCCTATGATCTGGAATGGATTGAGACTTAGCAAGTCCCGAACAATGAAAACATAACAAGCTGGATTGAACACCTTGATTTGGAAACAAACTAACTATGGAAACACCTTTCCTCCAGGAGGTGCATGGCAAC